ATTCATATATATTATCTTATTGAGAAGATAATCATATTTTTGTTATAAGTAAAACACGTATAAATTATCTTATTGAAAAGATAATCATATTTTTGTTAGTTATAAACTCACATATCTCATCTTATTGAAAAGATAACCAGTTGTATAATTTCTTGAAGTTATAAAAGTTAATAACTGCTGTGAACACAGTTACTATTACCATTTTAAAATAATTACATACATATAATCTTAAAATGGTAATAATATAAAGAATTATTCATCTAATCAAATTGTGATATGAAGTGAACAATAAAATATAATTAACTAATTTCTGCTAAAAGTTTATATCACAACAATATATAACTTTTAATAATAATTATAAAATATATAATTATATTATAATTAAAATAAAATTATATTTTAATATTATTTATAATTAATATAATACTTAAATTTTATATTTAATAAAAAATTTAAATAATATATTATAATTATATATTATAAATATTATAATATATTTAAATTCTTATTTTTTAAATAATTATTATATATATTTTTAATATATATATTTTTAAAGTTAATTCTTGAATTAGTTTAAAATATAATTAGTTTTTTTTAATTATATTTATAAAAAATAAAAATATATAAAGATTTTTTAATTTAAAATAAATTAAAATTTATATTTAAAAAAAATTTCTTATATTATTTAAATATTTATAAAATTAAATTATTAAAAATTTTTAAAAAATTTGAATAAGCTATTAAATTTTATTTTATATATATTATATAGTAAAATTTTTTTATAATTATCACACTTGAAAAAGTAAAATTAAATAATTAAAAAAAATATAATTATAAAGAGATTTTTTTAATTATAGTTAATTAATAATTCAAAAATTCAAAAAAAAATAATTATAAAAAAAGAAATATAATTATAGAAAGATTTATATTTTTATATAAAAGTTTTTTAATATATTTTTAAAATATAAATTTGATTTATAATTTAATAAATTTTTTTAAATTTTTTTTTGAAAAGATTATTTTAATTATAAAGTTATTATAAAAATTTTTTGTAATAAGTTTATAATTAAAATAATTCTTTTAAAAAAATATATATATTGAATTAAAATTAATTTTAAATAGTTTAAACAAAAATTTATTAGTAATTTAATTATATAAATATTTAAATAACATTTTTGAATTGATTTAAAAATTAATTTTGATTGAATTATAAATTATAAACTTTAATATAAAGAAAAAATTTTAATTTTTACTATATTTTATTAATAAAATTAATTCTCTAATTTTATAATTATAAGAATTATTATATATAATATATTATTAAAATATTTATAATTTTTTAATTAATTTTTAATAAATATAATAATATTAAAATTTTAGATTTGATTAAAAAGAAATTATAAATTATAATCAGACCTTTTTATAATTAACATATTTGAAAAAGTAAAATTAAATAATCAAAGAAAAATATGATTATAAAGAGATTTTTTTATTATAATTAATTAGTAACTGAAAAATTTAAAAAAGATGATTATAAAAAAGATAACTATAAAAAAAGCTAACTATATTATTTAATTTATTATATAATAATTTTTTTTATAGTATAATAAAAAAATTTATCAGTAAAAAATTTTCAAAAATTCATTATATTAAGAGTTTATTAATAAATTTACTATATTGAATAGATTTTATTAAAGATAGTTTTGAATATTATTTACTATATCACAAGTTTAATTAGTCTTTATTATAAAGAAGATATACTATAAAGAGAGCTATTATGTATTTGAATTAATAAAGAAATTTGATTTAATAATATTCAAAAATTAAAAATTTTTTAATAATAAAGTTAATTACTAAAAAAATTTTAAATAAATTTTAATAATTTTATAAGATTTTATATTTTTGATATATATTTTAATATTTATTATATTTAATTAATAATATATTATAATACTTTTACTAAATCAATTTAATAATTAAATAATTTTTAATAATTATTAAACTTGTTATAGTTATTATATTATTTTTCAATAATAAATTTATATCATTCAAGAATATTATTTGATATTACAAATTATAATACTTCTTTATAAATATCTAATATAAGAATATTATATATAAAATTTCATATCTAACTTGAATAATAAAATATACTATTTGATAAAGAATAAATATAATTACATGAAAATTTGCAAATATATATTTTTTGATATAAAGAATAAAATTATTATTGATATAATATCTTATTAAAAATATTATTAAATTATAAGAAACTAAGAACAATTATAGATATAACTAACTTTATTGATTATTCAATGAAAAATGTCAGAATTATGCCAAAATTTATAAATATATTCTTGTAAACTTCACCTATAGGATTACTTAATAGTATTTTTTAATAATATAAGCTCAATCTTTGTTGAATCTGACTTATTTTTTTTACAATAGATTTTATTGAGAAAAAATGTAGCAATAAATGTAATTAATAATAATTTTGTAAAAGCAAACTTGATATAAAGATATGTCTAAATATCAGACAATTTTGACAATTTTTCATTATTCTATGTATATTCGAATATTTCGCAATTTAAAATGATTACCAATTGTCATAATTCGGGCTAATCAGTCAAATTGTCAAATAGATCGTTTAAAGTTCGTCATTAAACACAAGCTATGATTTTTTATACGGCAAAGTTTATTAATGCTTTGTGAAGTCGTTCCCAGTCTGAAGGATAGGTCCTTTATTGTGTTCAGGGAATATTTGGTCTTCACATCCATTATAAGTTACTTGTGGATCAAAATTGCTGTTATATGTTTTCGTTTTGTTCACAATCTTCGGTAGTTTGTACTTAGCGTCAAATTCCAAGAGTCAACATGGATATGAATCGTCATTGTTGTCTCTTGAAAATTTCGCCTTTACCAACTCTGATCAAAGAAAAATGGCCAAGACGATAGAAAATCATTTTAGTATTTTGATATTAGCCGAAGATGATATTTGGAGGCTTATTAGCGTAATAACGTATATTTTTCAAGCAGGCCATAATGAGGTTTATTTCTCGCGCAGGAGACACCGTGCGAAAAGACGGTTATCAAATTCGCTTCCGCATGGAACGTATGATAGACATAACCTACATTTTCGCAACGCTAGCACGCACGGAGCCAAATTGTACAAAAGATTTGAAGGAGATGTGATTCGATTTGAGGCGGAAAACTTTTCTATGCACCTTTGAACCTTGCATTTCTAATATTTCGGAAAAAGACAATAATATGCCTATATGTTTTAGATGAGTATAACGGCGCTTGTCGCTCTAATGTGAGAAACGAAATTTTTATTCTGATTTGCATTTTTAATCCAATATATCATGTTTTTGATCATGCAGTTTACTTTAAAAAAAATATTATGTGTACTATAAAAATCTCACGAATTTTGTCAATATATGAATAGAACAAAATTTTTTTTAAAAAATAAATAAGGATATCATCGTCATCATGAAGATTTTTGTTCCGTAGGATCATTACAAGGCGGTGGAATCGGCGAATTGGGGTCAATTGGTGGAAGTGCTACTCTTCCCACTTTAAAGTAGGTATGGTGATCGCGATAGAACGAAGCCCAACCTTCTAAACTCTAAATTAAGAAAAAGTAATTAAAATAGCAAAATCATCAAATTATTAAAAACGAAGATTATAGACATAATTAAATACCTTTAATTGATCTGGTGTCAACCCACGTAAATCATGAGACAAATGTGACGGTGAACTAAAGCATCCAGTGATATACGCTCGCGACGCGTCTCGTCCCGAGAAAAATCCGTATGAACCTCCCTTTTTTTATTTAGGTGTTTTTAACAAAAAATCCCTTTACCTGTAACTATTCGTCTTTAACAAAGGTCAAAAATGAAAAATATCAAGACTAATCAACTACCTTTCCGTAATAATCTCTTCCTTGAGTCACATCAAATACTTCACCGCTATTATTATAAAATGCGAATTAAAATGAACAAAATATTTAGATAGAAAAAACCTCGGCCAACAAAAACCTACTTTATGGCAAGATAGATCGGAAGATCAGGATCGGAACCATCATATTTCGATAACTCCTCCAAAGTGAACATAATTTCTCTACGCTAGTTTTTTAAAAAATCAAAGCACAAAGTTTACAAACCAATTAAAAATCGATACATCTTTTTCTACCTATCTCATTCAAAAATTCATACTTCTTCCAAAAAATAATCCTACCGGAATCCAGTTCCGCCAATTAGTGTATTTGCTTTGATAATCCCAAGTCCAAGTCTCTGTAAAAAAATATGACGACAAAAAGAATACCACTAACAAACTACCCAAAACTTTAAACAGTTTCACGAAAAAACCGCCGCTACTAGACTCCGTCCGATATTTTTTCGAGTCTCGACCAGTAGTATTGGTCACGTCATCTAGTGGAGGATCAAAAGGTATTTTTTTACGAAGAGACATTTTTTATTTTATATTGTTCTCGTATCGATGTACGTAGAGCTCGTCCTTTTAAACTAACAAATTGATTTAATCAAGGTATTCTATACATGTATGCGTAGGAGCACCAAAAAATTTAAACTCCGCGTATTTTATATGGAGGTTTATATCACCCGACCTAATTTCGGTGAGTTTTTATGCACTTATGCACGTAATGACGATCACATTTCAACTGCCGATGCTGAAAGCAGATATCCCGCAAGAAGAACTTAACGCAGTCCTAACAGGGCTTAAATGTAAAAAATGCAGGTAATTCAATTAATTAATTAATTGTCTAAATAAAAAATATTCCCTCATAAATAACATTTTCCTTCTCGCTATCAAGAAATATAATTATATCACCCGAGAACTTTGTCACACATGAACCAGGAAAAGGTCAACTCGCCTTTTCATTTAAAAAGCGCGACGCTTCGCTCAATGATAATGTTAATCAAAACATCAAATGCTCGGCGTACTTTATCGAACCATTACAATGGATAATTGATGCGAGTCAAGGAGAATTGGACGGCAAAATTTTGTGCCCAAAGTGTTGTGCTAAATTGGGTAATTATAGCTGGGCAGGTTTGTTAAAGTGATTTTTAATTCTTTGTTTTTTGATAATTTTTCTATACGTGATGTTGATTCGAGTATTATGGATCGCTTGCAAAGGAATGCAATGTTCATGTGGCGCTTGGATTACACCTTCATTCTCAATACATCGTGAACGTGTCGACGAAGTAGTCACAAGGTCAATCACACCGCCAACTTGATTTATTGTCTGGAGGATTTTTATCCATGTGAGACAAAAAAACAATCCTTTCTCTAAAGGACAATATTTTTGTTAATTAAGTTAATAGCAAGCAGCTATGTTTAATACAATACTCGCCAAATAATTAATGAATCCTGGATAATTATAATTATAACTATTAATTTACAATGTTATAAAGACCATAGTTCTTTTATAAACCAATCCGCGATTTGTTCCTTTTCTCTAGACTTTCGCTTTCTTCGAAGTGTTCCTGTCGTTAATGTCTCTGATAAATCATTATTATCTGAAATAGAAGATGCCGATGATATTAGCGGTAATGATGGCAGTGGTGGTGCTGTTTCTGATAATGGTATTGTTGCTGATGCTTGTAGTGAAGGTGGTACATTCTCTTTATCAATATTGATCTCATTATACTTTTTGCCCTTGTCTGTGATTGTCGTGGTTTTCGTTCCGGTTGGCATTGTTTTTGTATTCTCTGTGGAAGTCGTCTCGTTATTAACAAACAACGGTGGATCATGTTCCATGACTCCTTGACTACTTATATAATAATAAAATGCAAAATTCGGTGCAATCGATGACTTTGCAATTTTTATCCGAAAGATATTCTTAATGGATGATGATAAGATTGACGACGACGATGGTGACGTATATGAAGAAGTCATCATTTTCAACAGGTCATTATGACAAAACTCAATGATGAGTCGTGTGGTGACTGAATGTGCCCAAGTGTTTCCTAGTGCGGCTGTGACCATCACTGCTGAGGAATCTCGATCTATCGTTACAAGATAATTATATTAATAAATAATAAAGGTTTAATTCGGTATTCGGTTTGTTCTTGATTGTATAAATCTAAAACGCGTGCCCGATAACCAACCGTATGTTTGTGCTCGTTTATAAGATGGTAATAACAGCGATGATGATGCGCCTGTATTGTACCTGTTCATTAATAATTGATTTGTCACTATTATAGGAATGTGAAATGATTCGGCCAGGAATCTATGAATTTGAAATTTTTTATAAAATTTAATTAATCTTTTTTTTTTGAGCATGACATAAGACAAAAGCAATTACTTTAGATGTTTTGCCTCCTCAACCAGCAAATTGTTCCTCTCGACCAGAAGCTCAGAATTACTTTGCCCGTTAAAGAAACCATTACTACCACTACTCCCCCCAAAGATCTTATACTCTTTCATCACCAGTGATCCGATCGAGTCTATTACGACCATACGGATTTTTTTCATGATGATAAACTCTTGAAGATTTTTTAGGCTAATTTTTGATATGCATCACGAAAAAATCTCCATTAGAGTTTTTCAACTGGGAAAAATATTTATTTTTCCAAAGAAAATCATCATACCGTTCCAACATGTCCCTTGAAGATTTAACATTGAGAATGTGAATAGAATTTTTCATTTTGTCCAAGTTACGTTGCCCTTTCGGATTTCTACGGGAAAAATACTGTGGATATCGCGTTTCCGCAATTTCTACCAATCTTAATAACATCATAAGTACGTTACATAGTGAAGAACAACCTTCATGAAAAATAGTCACCATTTGCCAATAGTTACCACTCTAGCTACAATGATTACCAACCTATCAGCCGATAACGAGCCTTCAGTATCAATAAAACACACACCACCATCTAACCCAGCCATCTCGATAGGTAAGGTAGCCTGCACAGAGAGCGTCAAACAAAATTGTGTTTTTCCACAGCGTGGTGGTCCAACAATTTCCGTGAGTGACGCGCAATGAATTCCACCACCCAGCGCAGAGTCTAAGTTTACAAGTGTGGTAGTGAAGAACGAAGGTGATAGTTTCTTTGCATTGCTGTCGGTGCCTGGGTTACCTAGCATTTCGCGCACCTGCGATAAACGATAAACTTTGATTATGTGAAAATTCTGTATAGACTACAGCCAGCAATCATATAGTCGCACTCATAAAAAAGAAATATTAATACCCTGATACTTTTCGGCGCAATCCATTGTGCGCATTTTCGTTGTATTATTCGGGCAGTTTCATAGCTCCAGTCGCAACACTCGACCAACTCTAGCTCCGTTCTGCTTAGTAGCCCATGAGTAGTGGTTATCGGCTGGCGCGGGTATTCTTTGAGTTTTCGTAGTTGTTTTGGTTCGAGTGCAAGGTGAGGTGGAAGTCTACAAAGACTACGGTTAGAAGTCATGAATTTTGGAGAGAATTGTAAACTCGAACTCTTTGTAGTGCGTGTACTCGTTTAGTCGCGAAAATTAAATTACTGCACGTGGTGCTCAGCGCACCTGATTGATTTTAATTAAAGCGTTGCGAGTCATGTGACATTCATGCAAAATAAATCCAGCACATGAAAAATAAAAATGTCGGGAATGCAAATTTACATACAGTGTCCTAACCGTTACCCTTACCCTTACCCTGATCTTATAAATCATTAAAATCATTAATTGGGTGCTCTGAAAATTTATTGGGACTGATCATATGACTCGCAACACTTTAGCAAAAAATTTGTGGGACATGAATCACACGGCGGACAAATTAGCCGTGTCCGCGTCTGTCCGCAGGGTTCGGACTCAACACTAGTAAGTGATGTAATAGTGGCAGTGCATGGTTTTATCATTATAAAAGAATTTTGGTCTCTTCTTAAACACATCGGGCATCAGATACGACGAGTATAAAGTGAATTTTTATTAATTGATGACATTACGTTTTGTTTGATACTTTTTAACGATTACGTTTTGTTTGATACTTTTTAACGGTAGCTATTATGAAGAAATTTGCAATTTTGGTAGAAAGCTTAGATTGATATTTGGTGATGATTTTCTCGTTAAATGCGAATAATGCTAAGAGATAAACTATTTGAAAAATGAAAAATGAGGGGTAAAAAAAAAGGGTACGGTTTACAAACGCTGATTTTATGTTTATGAAAGTTCGAGGTAAAACACCCAAAAAAAATTTAGGAAAAATTGATTGACATCTCAGGTGCGCGTTCGGTGGTCACCAAAACAGAAAAGAATTGAAAAGAGAATAACGCATAAAAAAAATTCAATTGAACAAAAAACTTGAAAAAAAACTGCGGAAAAAAAGGGGAACTTTAAAAATGAAAAATGACATTTTTGTGTATATGAATAAGTGCGAAACAAGATGTGTAACCGGGGAACGAATGAATGGGTGAATGAATGGGTGAATGAATGGTTATATTTCGTAAATCAAATATGAAATGAATGGGTGAATGAATGGTTATATTTCGTAATCAAATATATGTCATTGCCATTTTTGAACAAGTACATTTTGCACCCTTATTAAGATCATTGTTTAATTTCATTCATTCGTGAACACATCTATAGTATTGGCGTCACGAGACCGAAAAAAAATTCGTTAATAACGCGCGTTATTGTTATCGTTAATAATACATATATAAATTCCGTATTTACTGCAACATACCATTGCCAACTTTTATCTTTCGATCATAATTTTTAGCGATCCTATTTAACCTTTGATGATGACAAAGAAACTGTGGGAACAAAAGATTTTTATGAGAATAGTATATTGAGATAAACATTTCCATGTGAAATCCGGGTTATCAATTGTTTTTGGTAATTAATAGCTCGTTCATTCCAAGAACAAACATTCCATCTAAAGGAATTTTTAATGGCAAATTTAAAACTTACCCTTTATTTTCTCTTTCGCATCTCTATGTATATGTATATAGAGTCTAGCGTTATAAATCGAAATAATAGAAAATAACGAATACGAAAAATATGTAAGAAGGATAAAAACGAGTATGAGAATACGAACAACACATCAAAACGGACAAAATAAATCACAGCCAAAAAAAAATAAAATAAAATAAAATATCGATAACGATTAACCACAACTTATTTTGTGCGCTCTGTTGCCCTATTTTCTCATGTTCAGAACAAGTAAAAATAAATTTACTCGTTACTGGATAACGTTATATATATCTATATGTAGTGAATGATAATAAATACGAAAAAGAGAGGATAAGGAAAAAGGGTTTTCATTTCTATGTTAAAATTTGGGAAAACTTGATCAATTAAAATTTGATTGAGCGGAATTTCCCCGAAGTAAGTGGTAAACAGAGAAAAGATGTTCTTAACGGAGAGAAAAAGAAACCGTAACAATAAAATCGTAAATGCGTGCATGTTTGATCTGGTGGTCATTAACTTTATTATTAGAAAAGAGCGTGGTTACTCATTTTATTGAGTTAAAGAAAGATGACTGACTTCTTTCGCGTGAAAAGAAACGTCACAAAATTTACAAGTCATATTGATAATGGAAAAATTCTGAAAACGCGTTTATATGTGTGTGAGTATATATGTGTGAGTGCGTGTGAGTGTATATACATAGTGTTTAATAATTAAATAGATAATATAAGCAACTAAGGTTTAAATGGATTAATCAAGACAATATTCGCTAATACTATTATCTCGTAATACTTTTATCTCATAATACTTGTGTTTATTTATAGTATGATTTTTTTCGACAGGGAAAAAAAATTTATTTGCCTCTGCGCTTGTATGTACGGATAAATTAATATGTGTGCGCGTGGGTGTGCTCTTTGTTGTCTGTCAAAAAAATAAAATTTTATAAAACGAGCGTGAAATGGATCAAGCCCCGAGTATTCTGATCTCTTAAAGATTTATCAATTCGTAAAACACCGGAAAAAAATAGTCTCGATCGAAATTTTCGATACTAGACATTAACAATAGCTACGCCAATACTAATTTATTCTTTATTTACGTAAATATTTATTACAGAATCGCCCCCAAAGACAATCCGGGAGAACTGGCATCATGTCTCCCTCATCTTGTATAAAAAGTATTGAAGATTTATGTTATGATGTAAATCAAAAAAGTTTATTTCATATTGTTTTTGAATTCTTGATTTACGCTAACCTTATCAATTCTATGCGCATAGTAGTTTTTTGATTCGCTAATAAACAGCAAATTAAATTAAAAAACCGTTTTTTTTTATTATGCATCATTGATCCCTGGTTTGCCGTTTTGATATACCCTAGGTTTGATTGAAATATATCACTTGAAATATAAATTTTACCTATGGTCCTTTTACCAGGTTTCTGGTATGAAGAATCAATAAACCGCGGTTTATCAGAACCGTCGGATTAATCGTTCCTTGACTAAATTCACATGTGTATTTATATGAGAAGCTGTGCTACTTCGCTAAGTTTCGGTTTACCAAATGTACTTCAATTAACCCCTTCACCCCCGAAGGGGATTAAATTTGTCGGATTGACAGCTGTCAAAATAAAACAAATCCGATCAGCAGGTTATTTTTCCCGTTTTAAATTTTATTTTTATTTATCAGAACAAAAATTGAGTTTCCCGTTTATCAGCGATTTTTTTTTTTTTTTTTTTTAGGTACACAAGTCAAACTATTCATTTCTTCATTACCTCGTTCGTTCCTCTCGTTCGTTCATTCGTTCTGCTTACTCGAGAAAATTTATATTTAAAATGAGAGAAAATAAATTACCGGAGATTAATCTGTAAGTATGGTATGGTATGGTGTGTTTTAATTCGTGACGGATGAAACCGACGTTAGATATTGATTTTGACTTCTTTTCCGTATTATAACCATCTATCAACACGCCATTTGTGATAGTATCAAACAGTTATGTTTTGCCTATTTGCATGCATACTTGTGTTCTCGTAATGCTAAATCCTTATCTGTTTATTTTTTATATTGGTGCTCTCAACATCCTATCGTCGTCTTGATGATCTTTTTTCGGAGATGAGCTTTTCATGCTATTATAAGTAACTTTTGTATTAGCATACATACCCATTTCACACAACATATAATAAATGTAACTATATATGTTTTCATATATATATATATATATATATATTTTTTTTATATATTTATGTTCTTTTTGACAGATTTTTGCGCGGTCACTTTATGCATGCATGCATGCACACAAGTAATTTTTACTCGAGCATTATTTATCAAAAAGGGAAAAGTCATAATCTCTCCATGCTTGTGTACATTTGTTTCGAGTCGCGTGCCTGGAAATTTCGTTACGTTCACATGTCATCATCATGGCGACTTTCTGATTTTATACACGAGACCTAGCACTTATCGCTATTTACATGTATTGTTATTATACTTCAGTTGAATTCATTTCGCAACGATGGTATAAATGATCGTTAACAAATGAGATCCCGAGTTGAATGTGTACAAACATAGAGAAGTATATACAGGGAACAATGAAAAATCTCATGGATTATCGATTCTATTAATGGATTCAAGAAAAATTATGTCTAACTAATTTGACGTCTTTTAAACTTTTCAGTTGAGGAGATTCTTTTTTTGCTTTTTTACTGGCAGCGGTTGGCGTATTGTTAAAATCGCGTTGTTTTAAAACGAAGGCTCACAACCCTGAATAAAAAATATAGCAATATCTTAAGATGAATGCTAGTAATCCGAGTTCGTGATCGTCGCCATTCTCTATTACTTTGCTGTCTCTGATAATACGTTTACTCTTAAGGATCGCCACGTATAAATAACAATACTCGAATTTGAAAACTAGATGATTTCGCCAAAAAATGCCTCCTTTCTAAACGAAAAAAGAATTAATTATCATACAATCTATTACATATTCAAATGAAAAAAGAAGAAGTCATTTCTACATCAAAAGAAAGCTTACTATTTACACAGAATCACATCATCTCGTTTTTTTTATCGGTTCAATGAAACCCATTTGTATGGCTCCATTGATGATGAAGTTTGATTGTTGAGTGATGGTGACGTTTGTTGTCCCCAGTTATCCGGAATCATTAGAAATGCAAGCTCCAGAGGTGTGATTTTGCTCATGTCTACAGTATTCCAGTCTACGGGCTGATTCGGGTGTCTTGGAGCGGGCCGTTTATACTCTTTAAACGTATATACATAGAAAGCTTTTTCCGTCTCAAATCGAATCACGTCCCCTTCTTCAAGAATCTTTGGTTTAGACTTGTATAATTTGTTGTTAATGTATGTTCCATATCTACTAGTGTCCCGAAAGATGTAGGTTATGCCTCCATCTGTTTCAAAACGTTCAATATGGCAATGAAGTTGATCACCGTCTGGAATGTTTGTCGCAGGCCCGATGCTTTCGAAGCGGCTTCCAAATTGGTGTGTGATGCCGTACAATAAAATTTCGCCTCCTCCCGCGCGAGAAATGAGTCTTCCCCAGGGCCAATCACGAAAATTATACATCATTTTAGTGTTTACGCAAATTAAATGTATTAAAATAAACGTTTATAATATGTGTGAAATGGCGATTTGAATGAATTGCTAATAATTCGTTTATTCTTTTCGTTCGCAGCAATGAATAGCGTATATGATGAGAGTCGAGGTAAAAATTTTTTATTGATGATTCAACCAATCCAAGCGCTGCGCCACGCGCAAAAATCTTCACACAGTTACTGCGCGTCAAAACAATCCGCAGATTACACTAATTTTAAACAATATATAGCTTTATAATGCACTCTATAAATGCACGCTTTCAAGGGATAAAATTCCTTTTGAACAAACGTTTAGATGGTAATGATAATCATGCTTGGGCATAAAAATTTAAGTTAATGCCAAATTATATATTTAAAAAAATAAATATTTTTATTCTTTTTGATAATTATAATAATTTCAAATCAAAAAACAAGCTTTTCGCTTTTAGGATAATACTAGTGTATATACATGGATCCGGATTCTATGAAATTCGGTATCCATATAACAAACTTAAGCCAGGCGGATTTACTATACATGGCTTAATTGATGCTTCGGATTTACAAACGAGTTTGCCGCAGCGTATGTGAATTTTTTATGGCAGATATTTACATTCTTATTCATTATCACCTTCCACAGGCAACACATCTGGTTCCCGCACAAATTTCGAGTATCCGATCTTTCGCACAGCGCCATCATTACCCGCCATTTCGAGTAACGCCATTTCCCCAGGATTACGATCCATCACAGAGTGTTTTGACTGACTTGGTATTGTGTCTGGGTCCCGTTCTGTTGGTTTAACGAGCCAAACTTTGATTCGTAACAGGGTATTAATCTTATTAGTTATGAGAAGAAGATCCTGTTAGACATGATGACAATGATGCTGATTTATACCTTCAACTTGATCAATTTTGAATTCTTCTTGTTTTGACAGTCTTGGGCTGCTATATGTCGAGGATAATGGTGCGGCTTTTGAGTGACCAGTGACAAAATTGGAATCAATCCAGAATCCAAAATAATCGAGTTGTCCTCCCATTCCTAGTCCTAATAGCATTTCTTTGATCAGTTAGTAACCGTGAAAATAATTTCAAATATGACTGACTACCTATTGATTACTACCGACCATTAGGCAGAGTCTGTGTACCAAAATTTAGATATTGCCAATTCTCATTAGTTCCACTAGCTCCTGAATAAACTCTCAATTTCGGCTGAGCAGTAAATAAAAAATTCAAACTACTCCCGTAAAATCGAGGTTGCACATCCCAATCTTCATACGTAAATCCCCCAAACACATAACCATCCGTATCCTTGACAATAATCATCACCGATCCTTGATATAACAACGAGTTGACGAATGTATGCCAACTATCTCCGTCGATAGTCGACGAGAAGATCATTGTGTGTAGCGTGGCGCGACAATTTGATGGTAGGCTATCAACGAGGAGGAAATAATCAGCCGGTGAGAGTAATTGTGAGAATGATTCTGTGGGAAAAGATGTGACTATTTGTGGTGCTAGAAGATTTGCCTTACGAAGGTTTGTCATCTGTTTTGGCGTGAGAAGTAGTGCCGATCGATGTGCTGTTAGAAATAATCGTTTTGTGAAGATTTTTATTAATGTTTGAAAGGGTGCGTTTTTCATGTACCAATCGATAAATGACGTTTCGTCAAAGTAACTATCAATCTCAAATTCTTTGAGCGTCGAAAAACTTGGCACAAGTAATAAAAATTCTAATAATCCATTTTCATGTTGCTCATTTTTGTCATCATTGGATAAAACCGCAATAGTCACTGGAATAAACTCTACATCATTAATCTTGGATAAATCATAAGCTCCTTCAAACCAATAAGTTATCGAAGCATGCATCACATCACGTACAAACGTACGTAATGCACAACCACAAGCACGATAAATGATGAATACTGTTTGCGCCTCGTCGAGTAATGTTGATCGTGTTAGTTTCTTAATTGATGAAAGAAATCCGTGTATTGTGATCGAATCTCCTTGTTTTTCTGATGATGGTTTAGTTGCGGTGGATTGTTTAATATTTATCGATTCATATTGAAAGCATTTTGCAAATCCGGAATTTAAAGAATCGGCAACGATTTGCGGTAAATATTGCTAATTTGCATAAAAAATATTTTTATTTTGTCAATGATGTTGATTTCAACAAAAGCACAAATTATAGGTAGAAAATAAGTCAATTATCAATAAGAACGAGAACATACTTGAACATCTGTCAACTTTATTCCTTCTGTTCTCTCGATTTTCTTGATTTGATCATCAACATCACTTTGATTATGATCTTTGGCAGAATCAATCCCACAGAATCCATTAAATACATTAATCAAACATTCACGTTCGTCATTTGTAAATTGCGATAATAACGATTCTTGAATACGTGATATTGATTCAGCTGGTGTACTTAATCTGTTTCCCATTTTTTTTAAAAATCACTGTAAAGGTTATTACGTATTTATTGTATTTATAGCTTATTGTAGTGACGTATTGATGATTTAACTAGTGTCGAATATCATAACGGTAACAATACAGTGCCGAATCATAACCGGAAATTCATCCGAAATACATTTTTTCTTTGCACCAATTCTAAAATTTCCTTAACACAATGGGCAAACGCAATCGTGCTGCCTTACTACCCACAAACCTTCCACAGCTTCAAAATTTGATAAAACGTGACCCAATCTCGTATAAAGATGATTTTCTGCAACAATACAGACACTATGAATCTCAATTGTCTATATTTAAGCTGAAACCTAGCGAGGAAGCAGAAGAATTTTCAGGTCTTATTATGTTTATCGCGCAGGTACCCTTTTTTTGATGTTTGAATCGAGGCATTCCATTTTTGTTTTAGGCTTAGTATTGATAGTGAAAAGTTTATATTCTGTTGATATCTTAAGACCCTGCATAGCTACCATATTTCGTAAGCTAAAATCCTTCCTCTGTGGAAAATTCAAACCTTAATTTGAGTCCAATTTTTTTATGCAAGTAATTCAAAATTCACAATGCAGTTTCTTCAGAAGTTTTATTACATCAATATTTCGAGAATAAATTAGTGATAAAGGTTTACAATGAGAGTACTTAAGCACATGAAGCGCGATAGTCTTTGTGATTTTGCACCATTTTATGAATTTAATTTACCATCGATACGTATTTTATAATGTTCGATGACTAATTAGATCTAATCAATTAAAATAATCTATTAATTATTTATAGGTAGCAAATTGCTATCCACAAGAAACCGCCACTTTTCCACAAAACATTATCGACATACTTTCAGAAAACTATCAAGTAATGCACCCGGATCTTCGAAAAACGCTGGTCCAGAGTCTTGTTATGTTGCGTAATAAAGATATTATTCCAAGTAGTAGGTTGGTTGGTTGGTTGGTTGGTTGATTTGTTTGTCTCTATCGCTACTATTACTAATCGGAAAAAAAAATCGCGTATCTACTTGAAACAAATAACAAAATATACAGCTTATTATCTCTCTTCTTCACTTTATTCCGCACACACGACAAACAACTTCGCGACTCATTATACCACTATATTATCGCCGACATAAAAAACGCGAATGCCAAGCACAAAAACAATAAATTGAACAAGACGTTACAGAATTTCATGTATACGATGTTACTACAGTCTGCTGATAAGAAAAATAATGATAGCAGTAATAGTTATTTGGGTGGGGGAGGAAGTGTGTCCTCGTGTGGATCAACTACAATGAGCGATCACGCTATCGCGGCAAAAAAAAGTTTGGATGTTTGTATTGAATTGTATAGAAAAGGAATTTGGTGAGTGATGATGATGGTAATTTTACGATAGGAATTTTTTTGTTTTTGATTAAAGAATATAATTTATTTATTTTCTATCCAGGAATGACGCTAAAACTGTTAATGTTATAGTGGAAGGTTGTTTTCATAGCGTGACAAAAATAAAAGTGGCAGCTATCCAATTCTTTCTGGGCAATAATTTGGACGACGATGATAATGATAGCGATGATGACGAGGTTAGTTTTTCGGATGAATAGGATAAATTAATCATATGTAAGGTGCTCTTTTCTTGCGTGCACATCTTATTTACCCAAATTCTGCCTATTCAATATATTCATATACTTTTTTGAATATCATCAACAGGGCGAGATACCTGATATCAAACGTCTTCAACACATCAACCTGATCAACAAAAAAAAGAAATCTACGTCTCGAAAAATGGAAAAGGCTAAAGCCATATTAAAAAAACGAAACAAGAAGAAGAGTAAACCGGAGAATTTCAATTTCTCGGCACTGCATCTGATAAATGATTCTCAAGGTCAGAAAGAAAGAAGACTTCATCTAACATCTTGACTTCTATCACTAAAACGACGATAATTATAATGATCAAAAAATTAGGATTTATCGAAAAACTTTTTTCATCCTTACAAAAATCATCCAACAATGAACGTTTCGAAGTCAAACTAATGATCATGAATCTTATATCACGTATTATCGGTGTGCATAAACTTACATTGTTGGGTTTCTATCCATACATTATGCGATATATTCAGCCTCATCAACGCGATGTTACAATGGTTCTGGTGGTTCTTGCGCAAGCTAGCCATGAATTAGTGCCGCCGGATACTCTTGAACCGGTGTTGAAAGCAATTGCTAATAATTTTGTGTCTGATCATTGTGCTTCCGAAGTCATAACTGTTGGGTAGATACAATAATTATTTTCGGTGAACATATCAAGAAATTTAGATTGACATTTATGATATATTACATGTCTATTGTATCTTATAGACTGAACGCTATTAGAGAAATTTGTCAGCGTCAGCCACTGGCAATTGACGCCACACTATTACAAGATCTTACAGAATATAAGTCAAGTAAAGAGAAAAGTGTTATGATGGCTGCACGTTCGTTAATTGGATTGTATCGGGAAGTTAATCCGGAGATGCTAAAACGCAAGGATCGCGTAAGTCATAATTCTTTCTTAGTCAAGAAATAAAAATTAATCCCTTTAATTAATGATTGATTGTTTTCAGGGAAAAGAAATTAGCATGAATATTAAAGAATTCAAACCACTACAATATGGCGAAGTTCGCTCGGTTGATCATATCGCAGGAATTGAACTTTTGGAAGAGTATAAAGAACGAAATCAACAAGAGGGTGATGCTGTGCAAGATGGTATTTTTTTGACTTAATAATAAATTTCTCATATTTATGTAATGCCATATTAATTTCTGTTCCTCCCCTTCTTGAATGTTCAAAGAATGGGAAATAGCATCATCAACAGAAAATTCTTCCTCGGATGGAGAATGGATTGATGTGTCATCGGATGATAATGATATTGTTATCACCGATATTAGTAGCGATAGCAGTAATAGTAGTGACGATGAAGATGATGATGAAGCGGCGCCAGAAGGTGAAAAAATCCATGCGACTCAAAATGAAGAAGCGACATCAGAAAATAGCAAAGATACCCTGGAAATCGAAAAACCCAAATTATCTAATCTCGCTACGACCAGGGTAATCTTCTCATCTTGTATATTAAGGTAGAAATCAATTCAATAATATAATATTTTATTTTGTAGCTTCTCACCCCAGCAGATTTCGCGAGATTAGAAAAACTACGATTAGAGCAAGAAGCCGCACAAATGGTCGAAGGAAGTAACAAAAAGCGTAAACGGGATACTTCGATGTTAGTGTAATAATTAAATATATTTTATTCATGTCTTTTATTGTACTCTTTAGTTAATGACTTTACAATTCATTCAGATCGACAACCCAAGAGCAAGACAATGTCATCAACGTCAATCAAATTACCGGTCCTCGAAAGAAAGCAAAACAGGATTACGAAGAACGTCTGGAGTCGATTAAAGCAGGTCGTGAAGGACGTGAGAAGTATGGATCTTCTAAAGGCAAGAAAAAGCAGGAAGGCGCTAGCAAGACTAATAAAGAGAAAGCTAAAAATAAAGCGTTTATGATGGTTGTGCATAAAAAGAATGTTTTGTGCAAGAAGAAACCTAGTTTTCGGGAGCAGGTAGTTATATCATATCTATGCTCAAATTGTATATTATTAAATTATAATGGATATTTACATTCTTATTATTTGTAAACTAATTCTTTAGATGAACATGACGAAAAAACGGAATAAATCAAGGAGAAAATAATGCTGGCAATACAGCAGAAATATAATTTAATCCCGATTCAATTACAAGTATCGGCATGATTTGTGGTAATCACCTATTTAACTCATTCATATCTCCTCTGTCTATGCCCAATAGTTGACAGTAAGTCTGGCTACATGAGGTCCACCTAGATGTATTCAATTTTGCCAAAATCATTATTTTGAGTGTGCATAAAATGTAAAACCTATTAAAAAACAAACCAATTGTAAGTTTCCTCGATCTTTGGATCCTTAATTTGCGCCAACCGAACTGACTCCGCGGCACGCTGTTCTTGTAATTTTAGCATATTGGCAAGATCTGTCGCTTCTTGTTCAATCGAGTCGTACTGACATTTCAAGTCTGTTATGTCATTTTTGTAGTTCAATATCTCGCGGTTGATTCGCTGTAATTGCATAGTCTGATTAAAGAATTAAAATGATCAATAGTTTTTTCATGGTCTCCCTTTTTAACCTTCCATCAAAATTTACCTGTTCCTCTAATATCAATTGGGCTTCTTGCATTGTATATTTCTGTAGATTAGAATTTGATTATTCTTTAGAAAAAAATTAGAATCAAAGCTGGATACAACGATAAATCGCCCCCAAGCTCAAAGGATTGTTAAAATAGGTGTTATATAGAAAATTGCTACAATTATCATGATCGTTAATTTGGCAATAATCAAATCTCGCCATACAAGGGGATCGTTATGCCCAACTTTGATTGTGTATGCATATCACAGTAAAAAAATAAAAAATAGAACATACACTTTCCGTGCTAGCAGATTGACTAACAATTGCAAATTCGCGCTCCTTATCATATCAATGAATGTTATAATAAATTTAATGATAACGTAACCTCTATCTTTGTAAAACTCGCTCACCATTTCCTCAACTTCCTCAATTAAATTACTTATTTCCTCGATATTTGCAGAAACGTATTCGTGTTCTGTTCGATATCATTATCAATGTTATTATTAATACAAAAAAAATAAATGAACAAGTTTACATAAGAAGAAACCATTTATTGTCACTTGCCAACGGAGAACACTTCTGTGATACCAATCGCCTCGTTCTCAATTTGCTGAAACAAATTTTTTACATTTTTTAGATTGGTTTTCTTTTCTAGATCGTATGCCTCTTTAAAGTTAATTATCAATTAATGATACAGTTAAATGGGACAGATAATAGACAAATAATAACTCTTACCTAATACCGCCACTAACACCTACCTAATTCAAAAATATCTTTTTCCTCAATCAGCACTTGTTGCATTATCTGTGCGTCCGTCAACGTCTCATCAATAGTATCACTAAACAAGACTTTTTGTGGTTGTCCATCTAATATTACTTTGAGAAACTTTTCACGCGTCGTCAGCTCAAAATAGTTGAATCGGAGCTTTGAACATTTTTCCTGTGTATATATTGATTACAGAAAGAGATGCGTGAGAGAAGCATCTCGAAAACTTAATTTTTTGATTGACTAAAAAAATTACTTTTAAATGCCTCAATTCATTATAGTATCGCCTAGGATTTGCTAAAACTTTCGGAACAAAAGAAGAGGAACCACTACCACCGTGTTCTTCGCCGCTACCGCCATTATTCATAACCCTATCTGCGACTAATTGTTGAAAGAACTGGTCATGAAGCTGATACGCGTAAAATTTTGTGATACTGAACGATTCGATAACGCTATCATATATTAAAAAAAAGAAGCATTTGTATATTAAAGAGATTTCTTATTACTGTTTCTTGTAAATAACTTACTTTTGCAAATGAGAAATCTCATTTTTGGTTTCTAAAACCGAAGTATTACTATTGCTGTTATTTGTACTTATGTCTTGCATTTTTTCCTAACAAAGACGCGTTTCTACACACACTACGCGTAATCCGGGTTAAACAATCCGGGACCAATTAACATTGTAATATCATATGACTCTATAGGAACCCTAAAATTCGTAAGTCTCGTGATTTTCAAACTACCCCCCAATAACATCGATAACCAATTATATTTCGATTAGAATTAGAATTTTTCGATAATAAAAATCTATTAGAGAGTTTGATTTTAAGTAATTAAGTGTAATTATAACTTTGTTCTTTATAATAAGCTTTATAAAGTTACTGATTAAATTTTAAAAATAATATGAAATTTAATTATATAATTATTAAATATATTTTATAATATAATAATTAATAATTTTTATTAATTTATTTTTTTAATATTATAATATAATTATATTTTTTAGAATAAAAATAATTATTTTATATATTATTATCAGTTTTTTTATCTAATTTTTGATTTTCATATATTTTAATATTTTTTTATTTCTTTTTTTTCTTTTTTTTCTTTTATATCTTCATATACAGTGGCAATCAAAAATAATGCAACGCTTAAATTTTTTACTAATTATAATTAGTAAAATACATATTTTTCCTT